GTTTCCTGGGAGAAGTCCCAGTCGCTGTCTGGGTTGCGTGTAGAGGGGGCGAGGGCCCTGATGATGAACCTTACCAGCCTGACTGTGTCAGGATCACCCGAACCCTCTCTGCTGCATAGTATTCATTAATCTGTAAAACATAATAATCCTAACCCCCATATCATTATGTCACTTGTGCCTTATGAAATGCAATATGTTTTGAGATGATACTTACAGAACACTTCTCAATAGGAAACACTAACCACTTGTTCTTAACGATGTCATTCATCATCATTTGTCGTTGATATATACTTCCTACCAAAAGTTTATACTCACTTGTGTAAATATAACCAATTACTTTAGGCAACTGTTCCAAACTAAATTTTGCAAAATATTCCGTAATGTTAAAAGGTACTGTTGACACATGAACTGATGCATTGTAAAACAAATTCGTAACATTGTAATGATTATTGTCATGGTTTCATATAGTGAGTGTCTTGGGGGAATTCGAAATCCGAGTCATCATATCTGCCAATTTACACTTTACAGAATATATCCGGATTATGTTCAACGAAATCTTGCCGTTCGACAGACATATGCACCACCTACAGAAACAGACAGACAGCGTGTCGTGAGTATGATGTAACTTTTCATCTTCAATCAATTTCAATACTTTGTCGTATCATGCACATAAGGAAAACACTTCAGATGCAAGGAATTGCCCAGTGCAAAATCGATTTAACATTAGAGAGAAATCAATGTAATAGACACTATACATAAACCAAATCAAATAGATCATATGGATTTGATTGAGTGAGTTAAAAGCCACATCGGCAATATTTCCAGCCATATCGTGACATATAAAGTTCTAAATGGATAATAGATGGAGTTAAATTACAAAAAACCTGTCAGGACAGTTAAATAACAAGATTATCACAGATAGAAACGTAAAGCCAGTAATTAAATCTAAAACATTTTAACTATAGAGGAAAACACACTATAAAACCAGGATGTAGATCCATTCGTAACTACTCGCCTCTTTCCGTGACCTACAAGAAGACTCGTACCCCTATCGTACGCCATTATTGCAAAGAATCGTGGCAAACCAATCAAATCGCGCGTAGTAAAACGCATTTCGAAGCATGAAAATGGCGGCACCGTTGAAGTTTGAAACTTCGCTAAACTATGCAAAAAGGACAGTTTAAACATAAGCCTTGAGCTAAAGGATCAGAAACTGTAAACACTGAAACATATATACAAAGGGAATGACTGTATTGCTGTTTTGCCCGCGGGATATAGGATATTCTTGGAGCCATGTTTGGAAATTCAGAGTTATCTTTACTTGGTAATAGTACTAGACTATTTTGATCTCCATGCTCTTTTGCGCTTAGACAGGGCCCAGTCGTAAACATGGCCATGAGAGGGGTACTTGACGCCATCCGGCTTGCCGGAATGACACGAGTAGTTACGAATGGATGTAGATCGCCAACAACTGAGGGTTCATCACCATAGTAGGCACCATGGGGACTTACAGTGCCTTTGCTACCTGCATGGACCCTAGTTGGATTTACACCATCCCTTCAGCTGCTGGCGATTGTAGGGAAAAAATAGCCGAAATTTTAAAGAACAAAAATACTACGTTTAAAAATCTGATAAGCTTAAATTTTACAGTTACTTTGGAGTTTTGGGACTTACGTACCCTCTCAGGAGGACATATGGATTTGGATACCCCAGGTACCTTTCAACTCTTAAAACGCTTAACCATTACAGAACCTCTGCTAGTCAGGGATGTTGGAAACGACATCAGAACAACGTATGCATTTCTTCGCCTGCGTATAGCATGGGGGGACGCCCGGGACTATTGTCAGCAACACGGAGCCATCAACACTGGCCATAATCAAGAATGCCATCCAGAATAACTTCCTTGAAAAAGTTTCTTTGGCTTTCGGTAAGAACACTGCAGACAAATATAAGAAACGTGAGCCATATCAGGACCTGGCTCAGAATGACCCGTAGGAATTCTGGCTCGAAACCAATATCCAGCAACATATATAATATGGGACAAATGATCAGTTGGTTTGACTCAATGATTTGGTTCATAGGAAATGGTTGGCACCTAGTGTGTCGTGTTGTTGTTTGTTTTTTAAAGGCACAATGTCACACATTTTCTAAACCATTTTGGCCTATTTTATATATATTGGGGCTTATGTACTCTGTTTAGCTTCCTATTGATGTAATAAAAGACTTAGTATCCATTACGACTAGCCTGAAATCAGTAATTGAAACTTCGAGGCCAACAGCTTTCAAACACTTGCCATATATGGAGTTGAAACAATTGCATCGAAAACGGTCGCACGCGGTGTTGTCTGTGATTGCCGAACTGGATCCAATCACCAGTTGCGCGTATGTTTTTGCGCCAGACATTCACTTTGTCATGGACTGAGTTCTGTCTCCGAAGGAGTTATAGGATATTCGTAAAGAGCGCTCCAAAGGACATAACTCTATGGGGTTCGCTTGAAATAATGTTCGGCCTGGAGAGTCGATTAAATGTAACGTTGCATTAATTCATTCGAACTATTTAATTTAATATTGTAATCTAAATACGTATTTTTAAAAAAAATAATTATATGTAGCTTCCCTGAGGACTGAGGGTTAGTGCTATGGAGAGAAATGCATTGGTTATTATAGAGAAGTGTGGTGTGAAATAGTGCCTTTAACGCCTCGATAATCGAATCTGGACAATACAATGCAGTGATCAACACCATGAGCATCAATCTGTTGGGATGCGATGACATGTTCAACCAAGGCATCGAGCCTGACCACCCGATTCCGTTAGTCGCGTCTTACGACAAGCATGGGTCGTTGTAGACCAATTCTAACCCGGATCTTCACGGGTCTTCACTTCTTCCGACAAGGATTGGTTCCGGGCACGTGTACCTTGTGTGTCGAGGCTCCTGATATTAGTCACTGAATTCAATATCTTGTGTATAAACATACAGGATAAAAATACAAAGTCCGTTTGGTTGGTTGGTTGGTTGGATGGTGTCTTTGGTTGGTTGCATAGTTAGTTGCGTGGTTGCTTGCTTCCTTGATTGCTTTAAAGAGGCACTCCGCAATACCCCAGTTGTATAACGGCGGTCTGTAAATACTCGAGTCTGGATCAGACAACTGACATGATCAGTTACCTACGCAAGCCCGTCCACCAACCTGACAGACCGATCACGTTATTCACCTCTTACAACAAGGACACATAGCTGAAGACCAATTCTTACATGAACGTTCACGGGTCCTACGGGTCCAAAGGATTTCGAACATTTCCGCTTTTCTCAGACAACTCATTCCATGGTAATTACTTACTGAATACTTCAAATATTCTATACCTGTACACTTTCAAACTGAATAAAACCTTGAAGATCCCGATTCTACAGCAAACTCAGCTTGTCGTAAGAGGCAAAGAACGGGAACGGGTGGTCAGGCTCGCTGATTTGGCTGACACATGACATCATATCCCAATTGCGTAGATCGATGCTCATGATGTTGATCACTGGGTCGCCTGCAGCGTTAAAGAACAACATAATCATACTAAATACTGTATTAGTATACTGGTTGATTAAGGCCAATTTGAACAGTGTTTCGACGAATTGGTGTGTGCAGAACCTGAGCCGATCAACACTATTTAATATAGTGACTAGGAAAGGATGTGGGTTTGGTATTTAACCCATTCAGCCACCGTGGCTACAAGTATGAGTTCGGGTGCTAACTTTGGCCATAAGGTGCTGACTCTGGTAGTGCGGGTTCGAATCCTGGATGGGACTCAACCTAACAAAAGTACTAGAATCTGTACTTCACTGAGAAAGTGAAGTCCCAAATATTACATGTCTTATATTTGACCACTTTCAAAATGCCATTGTGTATTCGTGGAAAAGGTAATTTTGATGTGAATTCATTTCTTACCCAATTCTGCGTTCAGTATGATTTCCACACAAAAATCAAAGACAGGTTATCTTGTACAAACTGTACAAAATCATTGTGCTAAAACATTCAACTTCAACAGGTATCTGTATATGAGCTTGGATTATCAAAAGGTCAATAATATTTAACCTTAACCTAATAACGATAATGTCTACTTATAAAGCGCCTGTTTCCACGCACTAGTCTTGTGCATGCTCAAGGAGCTAACTCATTATTGCCCCGGATCATCCAAGCCAGTGAACCGCTAAAAGGTTAACAGAAATATGACTCATCCAACTTGGTACCCATTCAATGCTGGGTGACCAGAGACAATTTCACTTGCCTCGGATGAGAACACACATGTCACGTGTGCTTCTTGAAGTCCTAGAAACTCTCAGGAGTCACCCATCCAAGGAATCTCCGTGACCAACGTTGCGCAAATCATTTGTGACCTGGGCTCTGTGTACAAGACTTCACACCAATTATAAGGCGTTTCTGCAGCAATGCTCCTCCTTCTCCTCTCCTCTTCCTCCTCCTCTTCTTCCTCCCCCTTCTCCCTCCTCCTCCTCCTCTTCCTCCTCCTCTTTCTCCTCTTCTTCTTCCTCATACTCCTCTCCTATTCCTCTCCACTTCCTCCTCCTCAACTTCCTCCTCATCCTCTACCTCATGTTCTTCCTCCTCCTCTTCCTCCTCATCCTCCTCTCTCCTCTTCCTCCTCCTTCTCCTCCTCTACCCCCTCCTCCTCTTCTTCTCCTCCTCTCCTCTTCCTCATCCTATTCCTTCTCCTCTTCTTCCTCCTCCACTTCCTCTTTTCCTCATATTCCTCCTTCTCTCCCTCCGTGTTCTACTTCTTTTCTTCCTCCTTTTCCGCCTACACCTTCCTTCTCCTTTTCCTACTCTTCCTCTTCTTCCTCCTCATCTTCCTTCATCCTCATCCTCTTATTCCTCTTCCTTCTCTCCTCCTCCTCTTCCTCCTCCTTCTCTTCTTCCTCCTCCTATTCCTCCTCATCCTCTTCCTCGTATTCTTCCTCCTCCTCCTCTTCTTCCTTCTCCTCCTCCTCTTCCTTCACCTTCTCTTCTTCCTCCTCTTCTACTTCCTCCTTAACCTCCTCCTCTTCCCCCATCTCCTTCTCCTCTTCCTCATACGTGCTATGGACAGGAGACCTTCTGCATCACAACACTTTTAGAGCGATAAAGAGTGAGTGAGTTTAGTTTTACGCTGCACTCAGCAATATTCCAACAATATGGCGACGGTCTGTAAATAATCCAGTCTGGACCAGACAATCCAGTGATCAATAGCATGAGCATCGATCTGCGCAATGGGAACCGATGACATAATGTCAACCTAGTCAACGAGCCTGACCACCCGATCCCGTTAGTCGCCTCTTACGACAAGCATAGTCGCCTTTGTGGCAAGCATGGGTTGCTGAAGACCTATTCTACCCGGATCTTCACGCGTCAGAGCAATAAAGAAAGATACAGCATAAACAGTGTTTTCTACGACGGCCTTTTAAATGATCGATAGCTCCTTAAATGTTGTCGAATCTTCCTTGAATGTTTACAATGGAATTGCTTGTTTCTAAGTCCTAAACCCATCGATTTCTCAACTTTCATACAACGTCGTTTAAACAAACACAGACTTTGTCATATCGACCTGTAAATAGAAGTAGCGATGTTATCACTTCTATTGTTACCACAGAAACGTTCAACCGTGATGGTGGGAAATTTACATACGTCCAAATAAAGTTGAAAATAGTTTATGAGATCAAAATGAATATTACGATTTCTATAGCTGCACTAAAGCAACTCTTGATTATGATCGTTACCCTTACCAAAATTGAGTTAGCGTGAATTAATGGCGCAATACCCGACGATGCCTATCAAGGAAACACAATGTCATTCGCCACTCCTATATAAAGATGAGGCCAGTAAAGATCTGGGTTAGAATTGGTCTGCAGCAACCCATGCTTGTCGTAATAGGAGGCGACTAAAGGGATTGGGTGGTCAGGCGTAGATCGATGCTCATGCTGTTGGTCACTGGATTGTCTCGTCCAGATTCGATTATGTACATACCGATATCATATAGCTTGAATATTGCTGAGTGCGGCATACTAGAATAGTCAACAAAACGACTCACAAGGTAGAGACCATATCCTATAATCCTATAAGTCAATAGATCAACCCCCGGAATAATTGTCCCATGACATATGTTTCGGGTTTCGTCCCTTTAAAAAACAAACAAGCAAACGAAAAAATACAATAAAACTTATATCACTGCGTGTGACTTTAATGTCTGAAAATAGCTTAGAGTAATACATGCGTCAGACATGCATACTTAAATGCATGTAAATGAGCAAGTAGTGGTAGGTTAAAGTTATAGTACGTTATGGCTCTGATTGATGACTCATCATTATTTATCAATGAGAATGCGACGTTAAATTTTGAACTGATTCTCTGTAATTGTAGATAATGATTAAAATGATGTTTCCCTCAGGACTTCGTTTGGCCAACCTCTTCATTGGTGGTTTCTATAACAACACAGAAGGCCGGTACCAGTGGTTGGATGGGTCGCCGGTTGTCTACGCGACCTGGGCGCCTGATGAACCGGATAACAAGGACGGGCGCTGTATGACTGTGATACATCCATCCGAGTGGAAGGACAAACTATGCACTTCGGAACGTTTGTTCATATGTCAGTTTAATTCATTTACTTAATCAGCTTATAGTCATTACACGCACGCGCACACACGTCAACAAACAAACACACACGCACGCACGTACGCACGCACGCACGCACGCACGCACGCACGCACACACACTCTCAACCCAACAAAATTGGTAAAAATTCCTTCCCTTAGCCAAAATCGTCAACGGCATAAAATTGAAATACGACTGATTTTTCCCCCAAATGATTAATCGTGCACATAGTCCGGGTGAAACCTTGCTCAAGAATGTGTATCACTTTTCACACTATACACGACATGTCTTAAAACACAAGACAATACACATGCTATATAAAAAATAAACTTGCAAAAGCTCAAATAACTTTATAGTTTCCACTCCTTTTTCTTACAACCAGTAATGGTTCGTAACCATTTTTGCAAAAGTTTATGATTTCTTTATCACAGTTAACATACTCCCAATTCCCAATAGCCTGGCATACACCCAGCATCTTGCAAGACATATTTCTGCTATATTTAGATAATTTACGACGACATAAAGCCGTTAGAGTTTACTTTTTCGGTATTGCGTGAAATACGCAAATAAATAGAAATTATTAACCGAGTGTGTTTCCGTATCATTAATATCATATATTAGGAATAGAAATGGTATTATTCGAGCTTTTGATACGGAAACACACGAGGTTAATAATCTCTTTAACATATAATGGCATTCTTACTCTAAAAAGAGAAGCAAATCGTACTTGAACGTGTATGAAAAGAATCGAACATTTGCGTAAGAATACTTCGCGGTACACCAAGGTGAAGGTCGTTCATGACGGCTGCATATGGTTGTTACTAGTCGCTGATACAGTGCAGACATAACTCATGCTTAAAATAAGATCTTTCTGTCTAAAAAGAACAATAAAATCGGGTAGGGTTTTTTTGGCAGCGTTTCTATTTTCATTGCGGGTAATCACTTCATCAATATCAGTTTCTGATACCTGACGGAATCGATTCGTCGTCTGTATTGTGATCGATAGATCGAAATACTTGTACCTTTCTTAGACAATCGCCTTTCACTCGTGCCTCATAATCCGTACCTAGAATGGGGGCAGCCATGTTTGTTTACACATTTTTCCACGCAATGTAAACTCGAGACGACGTCATCAATGAAATGTTAAACGTTTTAGGATTCGCATGGCGCGTATGGAGTTTCCTATTGTGAAAGTAGTTCGTGGATTGACGTAATTTGCATAGTTATCAGATTTGGATACCAAGTTTATCAGATTGCTTTATTGCAACCGATAACACCTCCATTAGATGATAAAGAGCTGTAACTGACGAAACTTGTACATATCCAAATACTTTCGTTAAAGGTGACAACAGTTTAAATGTAGAGGAACATTTTATGGATTGACAACTTCCTTATTGCAATAGTTGCGACGTTTCTTAAAGAAGGAATTTGAATGTATGTTTTGTTTTGATTGCACGAACGCTTTTGTCAAAGTTTTCCCTGAGTGGTTCTTATGTCTGTTTTGTATCTCAGTCCGGACTGTCTGAACCAAGCGAAGCTCCCACATATGTTTGTTTGTTTCTTTGTTACTTCAGTAAAGTAATACCAGGAACCTACCTGCATGGACCCTAGTTGGATTTACACCATCCCTTCCAGCGAACCTACCAGGAAGAGGTTACAACTAATTGCAGGAGGAGTGAGTCTGGTTTAACGGCGCTTTCAGCAATATTCCAGCAATATCACGGCGGGGGACACCAGAAATGGGTTTCACAGATTGTACCCATGTGGGTAATCGAACCCGGGTCTTCGGCGTGACGAGCGAACGCATTAACCACTAGACTACCCCACCGCCCCAGTAATTGCAGGAAGGTAACGGTAACTAAAGATAGGTATATATATTATATATAGTGAGTGAGTGAGTTAATAATATACTTTGGGTATAGCGCGTATATTATATATAGAGACGCAATGAATCATGATCATGAGAAATAATATACTTTGTGTATAGCGCGTCAAATATTTTAGATATATGTAGGATGTAAAATAGATTTTTCCCTCCATCCAGTTCGTCATCGTTGTTACAAATCACATATAGATTGTGGATGACTAAGATTCCGAATTATAAGGAAATGCTTACAAAGGGTGTCATATCAACCTTGATGCTGTTATTTCTGTTTTTTTATTTTTGAATCTGTCTTTAGCGAGTTCACAGGAGGGACATTTACGTTGTGTCAAAATATATACTTGAAAGTAAAATATCTGTAGTACATGTTTGATACGCTTCTGCCCAAGCCCAGGGCTTTGCTTGCGACAACACACAAACTCAAATTGATCAAGTTTGCTTCGTTTGTTTGTTTGTTTGTTGTTTGACACCGCGCTAAGCAATATTCCAGCGATATGGCTGCGGTCTGTAAATAGAGACAATCCAGTGATCAACATCATGAGCATCGATATACAGAACAGGGATACGATGGCATGTGTCGGCCAGGTCAGCACTATACAACTGTTTCGAAAAGCCTATCCACGAAATATCATTAAACGGTAATGCGGTAGCGACAGAGTATATTAAACAAACGTAGACATTATACAATAAAATAGATAACTGGGAATCGGTCCGTGAGGGAATTTGTGTAAAACCAACAAACGTCAAAGGGAAAACTGCAATTAACAATTGTATTCTAAAATTCTAGGTTTACAAATCAATCAATATATTAATATAAATATCTACAAGGTATATTTTTGACACTACAAAATAGGAGCAGTGATTGCAGCAATGAATACAATGTTGTGTTCACCTCCCAGCAACAGTAATTCAACTTGGGAGAAAGGTCTAGGCAGGGTGTATCTAGAGTTTAAAGTGATCACACAAAATGCTGGCCTTCTTGTGATTTGACGGTTTCATGATCTCGCCTCATCCCAGCCTCTGCAAGATCATCGAGTTCTTCAAGACCGGGCAAGGCTGCATTGAAGCACCAATCCTTCAGCATCAACGTGGTGGTGTTGTACGTCCCAGAAAGCGAAAGTATCGCAACTTGGAAGGTGCCCTCGACCGAGAGAAACGCCACCTGAGAAAAGGCCTAGAAAACAGCAATCCAGTTTTCTGACGATGTATCTCATCTCATGTGTAGATTATTGATACAACTCTAAATGAATAATGTATGGTTTATCATATGATGTGAATTATAATATGAAAATAATAATTCAACTTTAATGAATAATATATTACAAAGTGTAGCTATGTCTGTATTTTCCCATATATGGTGTGAAAACTTAAATGAAAATAAGATTTCACTCTGGTTCAATTCTTTCTGTTTTGCGTGATGGTGATAAACCATTGTTTGTTTGTTTATTGTTTATTGCACTCACCAGTATTCCAGCTATATGAAGGTTGTCTGTAAATAATCGAGTGTGGACCAGACAATGTAGTGATCAACAGCATTACCATCGATCTATTGGGATATGATAATATGCTTCATCGGCAATAGTAAATTCTAGCGGCACGCCTTTTGCGATAGCGCTCCAGAGTTGCCTCCCTTGGCTTTATTTCTGTTTTGATCGGTCGTACGTTCCACAGATTTCCATAAAGTTCTCAGTGGATAAAGAATGTTGTAGACTCTGTGTCAGTATATATATAAAGGCTGGTTGTTGTGTTGGCACACTCACGGACTAACATATGGACTTATCATATCACTTGAGTTGTGTACATCTGTCTGCCATCGTCAACATCGTCTGACCTACATTCAAGATTGCCACTGCGTTCTTTATTCAATTCTCATAGTAAACTACCTTCAATTAGTATATCTGCTCTCGTTGTAAATGTCGCGACTCTGGTGAGTTAATATTTCATATTTGTGACCCATTACTTTAGATTTGTGACTCAATTGCATTGTACTAGAAATCTGTATTGTGATTCATTGTAGCTTGCTCCTTGTTTGCCCAATATATTATTGAATATTTTAGACTTGTCTGTGT